TGCCACTCATTTTACCGTTGTCAAGCAAAACATTTTGTGGCTTGAAAAGTCACTGTAAAACCTCATCCAAAAAGCTTACTTGTTTCCCTACTAAGTTTCAGCTTCAAGCAAAGTGGGGTTACCTTTGCAAAGGTGCATGTAATATGCTGCCTTTTTAAAAACAAATATTCTGCTGTTGTAGGAAGCATAAAGTATGAGTCGTCTTCAGCAAGCCATACTTTTGCTGTTCTCTGTTTTCACAATGTGGTCACACAACACAGGGCTCGTAAGTGACTCAGTAGAGTCCTACACAAAGCCAGCTGGCCACAGGCACAAGCCCAAGCCCAAGCAGTTCCCCTTTAAAATTGCTAGCAACATCTGGTCATTTTTTAGGAGTGACTGATACAAGACAATTATCCAGTGGTCCCCAGAGAATGAACAGACAACCATAGTTCAGAAAATAGACCAGTCTGATACTTAGTGACATTGGCTGGTCTGAGCTACTGCAAGCGAAAGCACCTCTAGCCACTTACACAAGTGATACATTATCAGAGCAAACAAGAACGTGCCTGGAGAAATCCAGGCACCAAAAGTAAACGGGCCTTTTCCCCCTTGCCTTTCTCACCTGTAGATCAGGACATCCACTGCACCAGACATGGCCTCTGCCACCCAAGCCGTACGGGAGCCGTTGTGCACCCTGGCCCCACGCGGGTGCGATGGCCTGTGCGACACAGGGGCGCACAAGGGCGAGGGCCACCATCTCTCCGCTGCTCTTCTGCCCAATGCATCAGCCCGATAGCCTCGTTAATTGTCACCCTCTCCACCTTCAGGACAGAGGTGCCCGAAGGACTGGCGCTGCACTGGAGCGCCACATGCTGTGCCGGCCCCTGGCCAGCCTGCCAGCCCTGCCCCAGCCATCTTCCCCCTACCCTGTCAGCCCTCAGAGGCATCCCGTTCGCTCTCCCTATCACTTCTGCTCCTCCTGAGGGTCTTCACCTCTTTCTCCATGCAGCTGGCACTCGCTCCACTGAATGGGTGGTGCAGAGGGGAAGGCAGAACCGTCCCCTTTCTGACAGGACGCCAAAAGGACAAGGCCAGGGCCGGCCGCCATTTGGGAACCCTGCCTCCTTCTTCCCCTCAGGCATCAGCCCCGGGGCCAGGCGGCAGCTAGCATCTGTTACAGCAGCCATGATTGGTTGCTCTCCCCCACAGGACAGGGAGAATATGAGAGAAGTAGCCAATCAGAGAGAGCTTTTCAGGAGGCTTTGCTAAGCAGCGTGGTGGGTTTGAGAAGGTGGCGAGGGCAAAAGGTCTCCATGGAGCCAGAAACCTCCTTAACATCTTCGCAGACAGGTTAGCTGGGTTTGACTGAATCTGTTAACAGCAGCACGCGGTTCCCGTGCTGACCCCCACAAAGCACATGGCAATCTATCGTGTGTTTAGCGCTGGCTTTGAACACCGCTGTGAGGCAGGGCATGGCGCGGCGCAGGCGTAGGCTGCAGATGGGCCTGGCCCGTGGGCCTGGTGGCGCCGGCGCGGCGGAGGCACGGAGCCGGCGTGTGGTGTGGGGGGCAGGAGCGTGTCGGGGCGGTGGCAATGACCCGCCAGCCTCGTCGCAGGGGATAACACCTTTGACGCGCTAGCGGACATTAGCGGATCTGCTCACTTCGTGGCCAAACGTAGTCAGCAATAGGATTAGTAACAATTATTTAGGAGTGTGGAGACGGTATGGAAATACAAAGATTTCGTACAAAACGTTTGCTGTTTCATAATTTGTTCTTCCACATCCTCCTGAACAGCCATTCCTTTGCATGGTAATTTGGGAAAGGTTATGTTTGCTCTGCACTAGAGGTAGATGCCTAATGGTAGGCAACTATAATCATAGGCTTTTATTTCTGTGGCAGGCCAACAAAGAAAAGTTTCCCTGATACCTCCCATGAAGTAAAGCAGAGAGACAAAGAGAAGTGGTCAGGCAGAGAGGTGAAAGACCCTCTTCAGAGCCAGCGTTGTTTAACAACGATTACTTTGCAGCGCCTTGTCCAGCAGAAACGAGATGGCGGCGCATTAGGGTAAGAAAGTGATTGGAGCCGGCGTGTGGTGTGGGGGGCAGGAGCGTGTCGGGGCGGTGGCAATGACCCGCCAGCCTCGTCGCAGGTGATAACACCTTTGACGCGCTAGCGGACATTAGCGGATCTGCTCACTTCGTGGCCAAACGTAGTCAGCAATAGGATTAGTAACAATTATTTAGGAGTGTGGAGACGGTATGGAAATACAAAGATTTCGTACAAAACGTTTGCTGTTTCATAATTTGTTCTTCCACATCCTCCTGAACAGCCATTCCTTTGCATGGTAATTTGGGAAAGGTTATGTTTGCTCTGCACTAGAGGTAGATGCCTAATGGTAGGCAACTATAATCATAGGCTTTTATTTCTGTGGCAGGCCAACAAAGAAAAGTTTCCCTGATACCTCCCATGAAGTAAAGCAGAGAGACAAAGAGAAGTGGTCAGGCAGAGAGGTGAAAGACCCTCTTCAGAGCCAGCGTTGTTTAACAACGATTACTTTGCAGCGCCTTGTCCAGCAGAAACGAGATGGCGGCGCATTAGGGTAAGAAAGTGATTACACTGCTTCCCTTTCAAGCTCTAGACCAGTGCTGAGACTTGATATGGTTTTTATCAGAGACTGCAATGCTGCATTACCAAGTAAGCAGTAAATTATGTCGAAATCAATTATACTACCCCAAGCAGAGATTCTGAGTAGAAAATGAATGGGTCTGGGGGTGGAAGGAGCAGACACTGCTTACGCATTTTGATTAGATAGCTAGCTATCATCCTCCGTGAGAAAAGAACAGCCAGCGAGTCATGAGATCAGGAATACTCGGTTGACTTTATCACACCTTACATTTTATATATATTTTACTGCAGCCTGCAAAAGGAGATCATGGGCTCACCGTATTTGGTGTCCTCTAGTACGATACAAGCTTTTCATTATGTAAGTGCTTTAATTCAGCTTCTGAGAAAAATTATATGACCTGTATGTATAGAATGACAGAAAAGATGTTAATCGTGAACCTTTTTGTTCAGAAGGTCTGTGGATCAGCAAATATTTATCTGTAGAGGCAGGGTGATCAAAACAATACATTTTCATTGAAAAACATTTGCCTGCAAATGCTGCTACAGTTTGCAACAAAATATATCAGACTAAAGCCCCTCCTGAAACTGTAATATATGAAAGAGTCATGTTACACAAACGAAATACTCTGGCATCTACTGCCAGCCTGCTAAATAGAGCAGCAGGAAGAATATGCAAGCTCATGTTCAGAGCCTATTTACAGGCCTATAAAGCTGAAGTGAGGACAGTGAAACTTCCAGAACTGGGCTAACTCCCAAACAATCAGAAATATTGCTATTATGAGCTTCTCTTAAGATCATGAGTAGCGCTTACATTTGATGAATGACATACATGGATAAAGAAAAATAATCACTGCCTTTGGAGTGGTGGGGCCTTGGAGAGAGGTCTGCTGAGATGCTCTTATCAGGAACAGGCATCTGGTCATTTTTGCACAATAGATTACCATTCAAGCAGACATGTTACCCTACAAATTTAGTTCCCAGTAATATTCCTCCACTATCACTGAAGTACGTGAGTGTGGACAGGTACAATGCAAGGCAGAATTTCCTTCCTTAGATATAAATATAAGCTATCCCATTGGACCCATGTTGGGTAGGCAGCTTCACCTGTCCCTAAAGGCGTTTCTGTAGTCTTGGAGTTCCTTTATACTAAAACACAGCAGGCTGTGTTTTCTAGGAACTCCAATGGGATGAGCTGGCTTTTCTCTGACAGAAAGGTGTACTGCAGTGTGTTGGTGCTTTCTCTGTTTTTCTATTTCTCCAGCAAAGCCAGCTAGAGAGAAGGCACTGAAGAACTACTGACCCTTGAAAAGGTTTAGGAGTGCACTCACTCCTCTGAAAAACAGCTAGGAGGATGAATTCCAGGCTAGAAGTGATCCTGTATTCTCTAGAAAGATGAGAACTAAAATGAGTGTCTCTGTTAGAATGAAAAAGAAATATAACAGAAAGAAAAGAAGAACTGTGCTCTCAGTTTGGTTGAATTTTCCAGCATCCTGATGCGTAGAGTTTTCCCCATATTTGATTTAAACTTTTATTGCCTGAGAAACCTTGTCCTGTTAAGAAAAAGTCCTGGTAAACCAATCACACCTGTTCCAAAGTAACCCTGGAAAACTGGTTATTGAAGAAACCTGGATTTGATTTCATGTGATTTAAAACTTGGTTTCTCATACAAGAGGCAGGGAAAATGAAGTTTTATATCTGACTGATAGTTCTGCATAGAAAATGAGAGGCTTGCTTTAATTTCTTCTGTGGTGAGGTGCAGCACATTGGAAAAGAGTTTAGGCCTTTGCTTTCACAATTGAACCAATGCCTTCATGGGTGACACTACTTTAATTACTGTGTGCTTCAATTTCCCCACCTGTAAAATGGGCAGCCTTTTGTTCTGGAGTGTTTCAAGATCTACTGTTGTAAAGAGCTATGTGAGGATTTACCATTAGAATGATAATTAAATGATATGATTGATATTAAATTCAACTGCTAACAAAGCTAGGTCTATTAAAGCTAATAAAAGGGTGCCTCTGCTTGCTGCTGTCAGAATACTTCCGGGAGTACAGTCTTTAATACAATTGTCTTCCTAAACCCTTCTGGGCATAAAGAGGCTAGAAGTGTCCACACTGTGTCCTAGCAGCTTGGGCTGTGGAGCACTCTAAAACGTACACATTCCATAACCTGGCTTTTTTAACTGCATCACACAGATGTAGGATGTCTTCATGGTGTTTTCTCAAGGTTTACAGGCAGCCTAAGTCTGTAGCTACCTACACACACTGTCTCTCCTGTTGGCACGTAGTGTCATGGCCCAAGTGAGTTTAGCTTACCTGACAGCAAGCTATGGCTGTGTGATGGTGCCACAAGAGCACATGTAATCCAGGGTGACAGCCCCTCCACGCAGCGGGTATGTATGCACGCGGGCTTGTATTTGTGCACAGCGAGGGCTCTGTTCTGGAGCGCCTAGAAGAGCGCCTCAAGGCTCCTTCTGAATGTTGTCTGACAATGGTAATATTAACATAGACGTGTGGACTTAAGCACAGGTTAAAGCTGTGCTCAATTTATGCTACGGATGTATCTCAGGTTCTCAAACTGCCTCATGTGAAAATAGAGGCATTTATGAGTTGGCTTGCCTAATTTTCTTGCAATCTTTTGATAAATCACATTGTCGTGAACAGTGAAAAAGCTGTCCTATTTCACCCCTGTGGATAAATTTCAGTGCTAGTAGGTAGGGTTGCCAGATGTCCTCCATAATATGTCCTTCATATTACAGTCTCAAATCCTGTGTCCCTTATTGAAAGCAGATGGGATATTGTTTGCTTTTTTTTCCACTTGCCATCAAGAGGCACTTCTAGACATATCATCCTTTAAAATGGTTTGAGTTCCTTCAGTATAAAAGGAGCTACACAGGTGTAGAAACGTGATTGTTATCGCTGTTGCATAAAACTTTGGAAGGTATCTAAGTGGCTTAGGAACCCAGATCTCAATGACAGTTTTTGAGACTTAGGCTCCTGGCCAACTTCACTGCTTCTAAAAGTGTTACGCATTTTTTAATATTTTTATAGCTTTCTGACAGAGGGTTTCTCTGTAGTGCTCTCTTAACTCTCTGTCCTGTTACGTTTTACAGTATAATTTAGAAAATGTTGCTATTTGTATGTTATTTAGATCCTTTTTGTCTTACTCTTTTCCTACTTATAGCTTCAATTTTTTCCCCTTATTGAAAAGCTTTGCCACCCCCTGCAACATGCAAACTCACAGTTTAAAAGAAAAAACAATGAGTCAAGGCTCTTCTCCATTTACAGGCCAGTTTCCTCCACTTTTTCAGAGCTCTAGGGAAAATGAAGCACTTGAACGTAATAGCATACAATTCCATGCTCAAATGTAAAGGCACTATCAGTGTAGTGTATACAAAGTGATAGCGTAGTGTCTGTTCCCTGAGGAAGAGTAGATAAAGTAATCTAGCAACACGAATGGACTTCAAACAGTAGTTTTCAGCTAACAAAAACAAACACCACATCCCAGATTTAAAAAAATAAAAAATTCTTTGCACTTCTCAGCTTTCCCCCAGGAATATTCTTCCTTCCTCATGGAGACGTTCCATGTTGTCATGGAGAATGATACGTTAAAGTCTGTGAAACTGGCAGGCTGCTTACTTTCGATGTTTTAACTCACAAGCAATGTCCACTAAGCAAAAGGAGGTCTTGTTTTCTGCAGTAATAGCAGTAACTTTACAGTGCAGAACTGGCTGAAGAGTAGAAAACACAGGCATCTTATTCTCCCTGTTGAGTCCCTATTTGCTCAGGTGCTTGAATTAATTATTTTATTGAAAGCTCTCTGGCTTACAAGTATAAGTACTATGGATTATTCTGGCAGGGTTATTTTTAAAGTTAACGCTGGATGAAATTATGGAAAGACACAACCTGTAAAATTCTTACCTGGATTTGACTCCTTCCAAGATCTGGAATGTTCAAACCAAGAGTTTGGTTTATGTCCATTGCTTCCAATTTACAATTTCAAATCCAAGTTCAAGAAAAAACCAGGAAGGTGGTCTGTGGGAAAAGATTTAAAAAATAATTGAAAAATTTAGGAATCAAATCAGTATCAGAAAGGTGAGGAGTAATATAGCTGAAACTGAAATGGCAGGCAAAATATCAGGAAAAAAAAGAATAACAGATCTTTATGAGAAAACTAGGAAAGCTCCCTAAGGCTACAGATTTTTGGATTAAATATTGCTTCATTTTACAGCAGATTGCTTACAGAAAGGATTCTAAAATAACTACCATTACTTTAAGACACATTTGCTATATTATCAAACCCAATTATTATTTATTGTCTTTTGATATAATATACATATTTTGTTTTCATCCTGAATTTTGGGATGGTAAGAGTACCTTAAGAGACAAAGCTTTGCTACATCAACACTTACCTTCTATGCTATCACATAAAATAAGAACAACAGTGAACATTTTAATACAAAATAAAAAAAGACATGATTATAGGAATTAAGAACATAGAGAAAATATTGGTATCTATATTGAGAACAATACAGTATCTTATTTGAATGTATCGGTGACAGAGACGGCGTTGTATACATTGAAAGAGGCCGTCTAAATTAGTTACTGATGCAGAATCCTTCAGTCCTCAGTGTAAATCCTGTAGACGCTGTGATCCGGTTCTTCATTTTTCACGGAAATAATGAGAATTAAGTAGTAACAAATTTATAGGATCAGATCTTCAAATCAAAGATCCCAGTTGTTGTTTAAGTGTATGAAAGAGTCTGTAGAAACTAGAATATTTTCTGCCCCAGTATTTTGGTAAAAATGTCGTCTTCTCCCTCTTGTCTAGTATATTCAATGCTTTTAATGTGTCAATATACCATAATTCACATCAAACACACTACAGCAAACGTAGTAAAACGTTAGGATTATTTAGAGAAAAGAAGAAAGGTAAAAATCAACCATTTTACTGACAGTTTCTGTGTTTAAAAAAAAAGGTAATGCACTTCACTCTTTTGCAAACAGTCTACAGGATAGAAATGTGTATTTTGTACTAGATTTAGTGAGTGTGTACCTGCTGTTTACTGATTTAAGATTTTCTTTGTAGACTTGGATAGAAGAGTTATTACATTGTTTCCTGTGCATACGCAAATCCTCTTCACAGTTATTGCTTTTTTTGGCTTTTTCTTTTTCAATATTTATTTTACTACTGCTTACATGAAAGTCTAGTGTCTGTGGATTCTAGTACATGAATTGTTTATGCTTGGTTTTTGAGGGTTTGTACATCCTGCAACTTTTCATGTCAACTTATCATTGTCAGTTACCAGTACCTCATTTTTATTCCTTCTGGTCCTCATAATTGGCTATCATTCTAGCCTTAGACATGGGCAATGATTGAATCTCCAGATACTTTTCATCTGATGATACTTGGCCGATCATAGAATGGAACAGCTCTCTGAGCTGTGAACAGATTGTTCCTCTTTTTTTTTTTTTTTATATATTAGTTTCATTTCAAATGAAATGGAGATTCCTTCTATTTCTATTAAAAGGAAATTATATTTTATTTGGAGCTAACGTAAATATCTCAGTCTCTGCAATGAGAATATTCCAGTAAAATAACTTTTACTTTCACTGTCTTGAAACTAACTAATCTGTGCTGTGCTTTCTGTGCTAGCTGTTACACCTTAAAGTTTTTAAGAAGGGTGAGAACATATTCCAAGATCAATAGTTACTGATGTCATATATACTGAAAACAAATACAGAGCTAACAAAATTTGGTCCTGTCCTTGCTTGGAAGAATTAAAGCTAAATTCCACTCAAAACCATTAGGTCAGCAGCTTGTCAAAATAAGCCTAATCTGCCCTTATCATAAAATGCATTAAATTTTTACGTAACATAACCTCAAAATCCTGCAGATTAGTTTTGATTCCTTCCCTCTACATAATTTAAAAAGACAAGAGACTATAAAGAGCTTTTGACACTCAGTATATGCTATTCAATTAGAATAGAATTAATTGTCTTGGAGGGAAAGCAATTTGCTAAAATAACAAACAATACGTGTCCTCAATGCGGTGATTGAGCCAATCCTAGTGAATCATTGCTGGGATCTAGCTACTGTGCGTAAGTCAGAAGTGCTAATCAAAGTATCTCCAATAGCTTTTGTATGCAGTAAACATTTGAAAGACCCATCTGTCTTTTTGAGTCTCATTTGCTGATGCATATTTTCATAGGTTGCCCTTAAACACGGAGCAAGAAGGAACGAGATGTTTTAGTGATATTGAAAGCATATCTTCAGGTATAAAGCCAGAAATACTGACCTACAGCACCTTGGCATTAGTTCAGAGGGGTTGGGACTGACCTTTTGGACCCTTAAACTGTTTGTTTTATTTTAAGGGATTTTATTTTCATTTTTTTCATGCTGAGCTGGAAATGTAACTCACTTCAGTCAATGCCTGACTTTGTCAGACAGAAGATGCTTATGTACATTGCCTCCTGTGTAAACTCAAACACTACTCTGTTCAGCCATTGTGACTGATGGAAGAAAATACTATAAAAAATGAGCTGGTGAGTGTATGCAATGCGGCTAGGTAGCCTGATGCTGGGATTGACACAGCTTTAGAAAAATACCAGACAGGTACATCTTGAGAGTGAAACAAAGAGAGGATGATAGCAAGAATGTGAGAGAAACACTTAACAGAGCGCTATATAAGGGAGCAATGTAAAATGACCCCACCAAAAGAAATTGAGCAAACAGTTAATATTATATTGTATTAAGTTCAAGTGTTATGATCATCTGCCACCACAGAGCTCTTTGTGAGGTTGGGAAGAGTACCTGTACATTGGTATGATTATCTCTTCTCTTTGTTGGACGTGACCTACTGATTATATCAGAATTCCCAGGATTTATTTCTCATGTATCACTCATATTTTTTTCATGAAACTTCCTCCTTTTTTTTTTCCTTCATTCTTTTTCTTTAAAAGGAGGAACCATGTAGCATGTAGGGAATGATCTTGTTCATTGTTTATGCTTGGCTATCGAGTCAAAAGTCAGACTTTTGTTAGATTTTTCTGTATTCGACATGGATGAGAGATAAAATAGCTATATCCTCTATACAGGTCTGAAGAGTCTGAAAGATAAACTGTTTAGACAAAAGCATGACAAAGTGTATCAACTTTTTGGCCGAGTAACATCACATTGTTCTTTTAAGCTACTTCATGGAGTTCATAGATAACTTTTGAGTTATAGCAATTCAAAGAGGAAACAGTGTCTGCGTATCAGAGTCGTGGAAGTATCATAAAGCAGAGAGTGCCACCATACACAAACACTGATGCAGGAAACCTTGGAAACAGAAGTGTAAACCCTAGGCATTTCCTATGGGTTAAAAAATGTTATCGTTTTGGTACACCAGGTGTAAGAAAGAACTGATAACGGACAATTTTCATCCACTCATGATGAATGTTCTCTGGATTAGAGGTGGGAGAAATAAAAGATGCTTATATGCAATGTTTGCA